AGAACAATCAGCCTTTATTCCGGGAAGGAACATGTTAGATAGTGTGCTTGTGGCTAATGAAGCAGTTGATTATGTGCGGAGGTATAATAAGAGGTGTTTTGTGTTAAAGCTTGATTATGAGAAGGCGTATGATTCGGTAGAGTGAGGATATCTTTTGTTTATGTTACGTAGCTTTGGATTTTCAGACAAATGGGTCAGTTGGATGGAAGCTTGTATGTGTGGGGGAAACCTATCAGCTTTGATTAATGGTTGTCCTACATTGGAGGTTCATGTTGAGCGGGGCCTAAAATAGGGGGATCCTCTTGCCCCTTTTCTTTTTCTTGTGGCAGCGAAAGGGTTAGGAGTTCTTATGCGAAAGGCAGTGACTTGTGGGTTGTTCTTTGGTGTGAAGATTGGGGTGGGGGGACCAAATATTTCTTTGCTGCAGTTTGCAGATGACACATTGATTATGGGAGATGCTTTGGTGCAGAATTTGTGGACTTTGAAAGCAATATTGCGTAGCTTTGAATTAATGTAAAGTATGAAAATTAACTTCCATAAATCTTTTGTATTGGGGATTAACACTGGTGATGACTTTGAAAACTTGGCTGCGGAGTTCCTACATTATAAGATTGGTATTTTCCCATTAAAGTATCTCGAGTTACAGTTAGGTGTTAACCCGAGAAAGCCTAGTGCATGGAAGGGTGTGTTAGAGGCTCTTAAATAGCAGTTAGCGTCATGGAAGCATGGGTATTTATCGATTGGAGGTAGGGTGACTTTGATTAATGTCGTTCTTAATTCTATGCCATTGCACTTGTTAACATTGGAGGTTCATATTGAGCGGGGCCTAAAACAAGGGGATCCTCTTGCCCCTTTTCCTTTTCTTGTGGCAGCGAAAGGGTTAGGAGTTCTTATGCGGAAGACAGTGACTTGTGAGTTGTTCTTTGGTGTGAAGATTGGGGTTGGGGGACCAAATATTTCTTTGCTGTAGTTTGCAGATGACATATTGATTATGGGAGAGGCTTTGGTGCAGAATTTGTGGACTTTGAAAGTAGTATTGCGTAACTTTGAATTAATGTAAGGTATGAAAATTAACTTCCATAAATCTTTTGTATTAGGGATTAACACTGGTGATGACTTTGAAAACTTGGCTGCGAAGTTCCTACATTGTAAGATTGGTAGTTTCCTATTAAAGTATCTCGAGTTACAGTTAGGTGTTAACCCGAGAAAGTCTAGTGCATGGAAGGGTGTGTAAGAGGCGCTTAAAAAGTAGTTAGCGTCATGGAAGCATAGGTATTTATCGATTGGAGGTAGGGTGACTTTGATTAATGCCGTTCTTAATTCTATGCCATTGCACTCGTTATCCTTTTTTAAGGTGTCGAAGTTGGTAATAAAGGAGATTGTCACTATCCAACTGAATTTTTTATGGAAGGGTGTTAAGGATGGATCTAAAATCTCCTGGGTGAAATGGAAAACGGTATGTAGACCGCGGAAGAATGGTGGCTTGGGCATTAGGAATGTGCAATGGTTTAATTGGGCGCTTCTTGGTAAATGGTTGTGGCGAGGTGTTAACTGTTCTAGTTCATTGTGGGTGCGGGTGTTGGAATCTAGATATGGAAGATTAGCTTCTTCTATTCAGCGTTCATCAGTTCACAACAGATGTTCTTTGTGGTGACGTGATTTGCTGGAGGTTATTCATTAAGGGAATTCATGGCTGGATGAGAAGTTTGATAGAAGTGTGGGTGTAGGTTTACACACTCTTTTTTGGAGAGATAAGTGGGTAGGCGAGATGCGATTGTGTGAAGCATTTTCGCGATTATTTGCGATGGCGAGGAATGCTGAATCATGTGTATTGGAGAATGGTTTTCATGATGGCATTAGGTGGGTTTGGAATGTTAGTTGGCGAAGAGGACTCTTTCAACATGAGATCTCGAGCTTTAATCTTTTGTGGGAGCTTGTGGATGGAGTTTCTATTAAGTTACTACAAGAAGATAAATTGGTATGGAGGGCAGATTCTTCAGGTTGTTATTCAGTGCAATCTGCGTATTCATGGCTATTTGAACTTTTTGGTGGTCCTAATAGTGTAGATTAGTGTACGGCAGATGCCTTGCAAAGGCTATGGAGAAGGAAGGTCCCTCTTAAGTGTCTGATTTTTTCTTGGCAATTGTTGTTGAATGCACTTCCTTGTAAATGTTTACTGATTGATCGTGGTGTTTAAATTGATGATATAACTTGTTGCTTCTGTCATGGTTTGGAGGAACTTCCAACTCATTTATTTTTAATGTGTTCAGTTTCATCTCAAATCTGATACTTTACTGCGCGTTGGCTTGGATTCTCATTGGTTTTGCCTTCAGATTTATCGACTCACTTGCTTTCTTGGGTTGGTGTTGGCTGTAGTAAAAGAGAAGGAATATGTTTATTAATTATTTGAGTAAGTACAGTGTGGTCTTTGTGGTTGCATAGAAATAGAATTGTATTTTCAAATGGTGTTTTGGATGAGAGGGAGGTCCTAGATTCTATTATTCTGAGATCCTGGAAATGGCTATCACTTGTTAGTAAGGGAGAAGCTATTATGTTAGCTGATTGGTATTTGAACCCACGAAATTGCATCTGTTTTAATTTTGTATAAGTATATTTTTTCTTTTTATTTCTCTGAGTAAGTAATTTTTTCTGTGTATATGGGTTTTGAGTTTCCCTTGAACTCTTTTTAATAATATTTGTTTTGCCTATAAAAAAAAATAAAATTAGAAACGAAAAGAATTTTGTTCTTGCTTCCGTTGAACCATCAATAGTTGCTGAAGCATTAAACCAATTTCACTGGCATCAAGTAATGCTGGAAGAATATGGTGCTTCAATGAAGAATAAGACTTGGATGCTAGTCCCTCTACCTCCTGATCGACAATCCATTGGCTGCAAATGGGTGTTTCAAATTAAGTATAATGCAGATGGTTCAGTATAAAAATAAAAAGTCAGCCTTGTAGTCAAAGGTTTTCACCAAAAGGAAGGATTTGATTACACTAAAACATTCAGTCCTGTTATCATTCGGGTCATTCTTTCTCTTGCTTTGTCTAAGAAATGACCAATTCACTAACTAGATATAAAGAATACTTTCTTGAATGGAGAACTGCAAGAAGAGGATTTTATGAGTCAACCTCTGAGTTTCATAGTTGAGAATCAAAAGCTAGTATGCATATTCACAAAGGTAATTTATGGTCATAAACAAGCACCAAGGGTTTGGTTTGAAAAACTTAATACTACTCTTGCTCACCTAGGATTCTATGCTGCCAAATGTGATAACTCACTCTTTATCATATTATCTCAAACATCATCCCTATATATATTTGTCTATGTTGATGATATTTTAGTAACCGAAAGTTCTTCATTAGAAATACAAACAATCATTTAAGCCCTTTATTCTAAATTTACTTTAAAGGATCTTGGTCAACTCTAGTATTTTCTAGGAATTCAAGCAGCAAGAAGTCCAAAAGGCACTCTTTATCTCTCTCAAACAAAGTATATTATTGATCTCTTATCTCTTGAAGAGAGCTAATATGGAATCTTGCAAACCAGTGCCTACACCTATAATTTCCAGTCTCAAACTCTGCACATCAAAAAACTTGCTTTCATGATCCTCATCTGTACAGATGGATAGTAAGAGCACTTCAATATATTACTATAACATGATAAGACATCACCTTTTGTGTTAACAAAGTCTGCCAATTCATGCACAATCTTTTGGACACTCATTAGAATGCAGTCAAAAGCGTAGTTAATTAGAATTCTGTTATAAATATCTCATTATTGTAACTTTAAATAAAAACAATACATCATGTTCTCATTCTTTCTTGAAGTACACTTGATATTCTTTAAGCAATAAACAACATAGGTTCTTGTTACCTTTATTAACTTTAACTATTAAAATATGTGTTGTAATATTAATGATACAAAATTTGGAACTTAAGTGAGTTTTCATGACATTTGATATCATGAAAAAGATAAAAAAAAAGGTTTTGACAATGAAACAAAGAGAAGGTGAAAAACTTTGCTATATCTATTCTTTCAACACTAGAATTTATAAGATATTAACTAATTCTATTTTGGAGGAGTTTATTCGTCATTAAAAGGAAGCTCATGCACGCCATGATAAAGAAGGTGCCTTTGGTGTGTAGTTTTTGGAAGATGTTTGAGGACAACCAAAAAGGTTATATGAATGAATTAAGAAAATAGATAAAGAATTTGTGGCTTCGTATTCTCGGACACAATTTAACCATGGTTCTAGAATTCACTGTTAACAAATAATTATCGATCAACCTTACTTCAGAGCTAGAAAACAAAATGCACAATAAGAATATTGAATATGACTTGGATAAGACTAGGCCAATCAACTGTGAACCAGTTCAACACTACAAGGGGACATGATCCAAGATTGTCGAACACTTAAAAATGTCCCCTAAAGTGATGATGTTCCTTTCAAACAACAACTATGATTTCGTCAATCTAAATAACTACATATATAAAATCATGTTGAATTTCATATATTAGATTTTAACAGCACGATTTTTGGCCCCACATAGATTTCATCGTACCAAAATAAAGTAGTACTAATACTCAAATGTCTGATAATAATCATGATGATAAAGTATTTTGACCTAACAAATTGTAAATTTCAAGTACATTATGTTGTCAAAATGACCTGAAGTAGTTAATCAATAATTTAGTTTGAGACGTGCATAACACTGTTCTTAAAGATTATTTTGATATAGTAAAAAATCTTCCAAGATACAGCAGACTCTTCTTGTCTGAATGTACAAAGCTCTCAAAAACTAGCAAGCTTCCTCAATTCATAACCTATAAAAATTAAGTCTGTGCATACGTTACATATAACTGAAGATATGATTAATAATAATAATTAAATTAAAATAATAAAATAAAATAAATAATTAATAAATTCTTTTGAAATATAATTATATTATTTCCAGCACATCAAATTGGATAACCTTTTATATATATATATATATATATATGCATACTTACACATATTCAAGGAACTATAAATAAATGAAGAAGCAAACAACAATAATCTTCAAATCATAGTTTACAATACTCATTATTTAGATGAACACTAAACTATAGTAAAATCCATTCTTCTTTTAGTTATTTATTTAACACTTTCTTAATTGCTTTTGGAGTTATGCCTTGATAAGATGATCATCAACATCTTTGGTGGCTTTAATCACAAAATCCAGGTAGCCATATGGAGGTTTAATATCTTCGTTGACCTTTTCAAACTCATAAATCCATTTAGCGACAGCATTGCCATCATCCTGATCAATCACATGTAAGTGAGCCTTCAAGATCTTGTACTGTTTTGCAACATCTCCATCATAAAGGTTAAATGTGAGTGATTTGTTCTGTACATCAATGACCTCAAAGTTTTCTTTACATGTTGTTACCTTGCCATCTGTTATTTCATAAGCAATCAACATCCACAGAAATATTTCTGAACAATTAATTTAAAAGTAAATTTGATAGATTTTAACTTGCACAATTAATTTAAAAAATTATTATTTTGGTTTCTAAAAGTATTAAGGATGAGTCATTCTAATCTTGAAATCAGGAAATTGATAAAATTGTCTTAAATGCATATTCCATAAGTCATTTTGGTCCCTATATTAACATCAATTTAGAGACCCATTCATATGTCATGTTAAGTGCCTCATATGATGCTTATGTGGTTAACAATTTGACAACCCGCGCTATGCTAAGGACTAAATTGATAGTATACATAAACACGTACTCAAAAGACCTGCTATGGTGAATTAAACACCGCATAAAAGAAAGAAAAAATGTCACTTCTTCACATTGACTTGTTGAATTAATCAATAAAAGAAGAAAATAACCCTTCTACATTAGAAAATGCCAAAGTCATAGTGAGAGCACAAACCAAAGATTAAAATGTAAACTTTGAGCATAAAAAAAAATGATTGGTAGACTGTTTTTTTTTTTTTTTTTTTATCTTTTTTATTTAGACTTAGAGGCATTTGAAAGAGTTTATTTGAGCTTATGATGATAATTGATAATTCTCTTTTTTAATTTACTTTAAAAATATTCTTAATATAATTGGTCTGGCCAGTTTGATTGAAAATTGGTCAAGTCATCGGTCTGAAAGACATCTAGAAAATTGGTAGGGTAAAACACCAATGAAGAATCATTAAACATGTCAAAAACTGATCAGAATCAACCAAAATCTCTTATGAATCAGTACCGGTGTAATAGTTTGAGCCAATCTTTTAAAAGGAATTAATTCTTTCCTTTTTTCTCTTTTTAAAATTTAATGCTTAAACATGTTTAAAATAAATAAGGAATCATATATGAAATGAATATATGAATTTGGTTATTTAACGATTTATTATGAATTTCTTATCTCAAAAAAAATATAACATGACTTTTTACAGTAATTTAACAGTTTATAGTTTGTTAGGTGATTTATCACATAATATTAAAAATATTTTTAATATTATACTTCTGGAAAAGTTTTAAACTGTTTGAGAGACAAAATGGTTTGCTCATAAATAAAAGATAAATACCTATGGTATAAGTCCAGTGCTTAACAGAACCAACATCATGCCACTCCCCTTCATGCAGCTTGGTGTCATGCACAGTGTCAGTAATGTTCTGAATGTGGTGAAGTTGCTCCACAAAAATATTGAAGAACTTAGCAGCAGGTGTCTGAATTTTAAGTTCAGTACCCACTTTACCAGTGAGAGCCATTTCTTAAGAACCAAATAGAGAAAATGAAGATAGTGATTGGAAACAAAAAAGGACAAGAAGAAGAGATGAGAAACTCTATGCAGCCATAAAGGACCTTAAATAAAAATTTGATTTGCCACTATTGAAGACAACTTGCACAGCATAACAATTGCTTTCAATTAAAATTTGAAAATCACGAATTGCTTCTAGTTATCATTATCCGGTTAGCTAGACTAGTTTATCAAACGGTTGAAAGTTTAAATAGGCCTTTGCAAAAGTTTAAAGAGAAAATTAGCATATGATTATTATTTGATAAATTTTTATAAGCCGCTCATTGTAACTCATAAATTTAAGAAGATATTTTATATCTTCTTAAAATTAATTATTATAATTATTTAAATTATAGAATATTTATATATTTTTAAATATATTACTAACTTTTATTATTGTTCTTACATATTTAATATAAAATTAACAGTAATAATTAATTTACACATGAAAGAGTATAGAATTAATACTCTCTTAATTTACAACGTACAGTAAAAATTATTATGTTATTTTACTAACAATTTTTTGACAAAAAAAATTATAAATTAAGATAGATTAAAAAAAAATAGATAAGATAAGTTATATGAGAAGAAAAATTAAAAGAAAAAAGTTATAAAAGATATTGTAAACATAAATTATAGGAATATCATTACTCGTATTATTATATCGACTTGTATCGGGGCACATAGTATCATGGCTTTCTCAGTTTGCTTCTTAAGGTAGTTTTACTGATCCCATAAAATATATTCTCTTTTATTTTTGCAAGCAACAGAAGGTTTACTAATTCTTCATTTGTACGTAGAAAACTTATATTATTTTCAATTTTTTTGCAGAGAGATTCATTAACCTCAATTAAATTCGTGACTTATTTAAGAGTTGTTTCGTTTCAGAAAATATTTTATATTTTTCTTTTGATTATAAAAATTGTTGCTCTTTTTTATTATATTTTTATTTTTAAATATTTATATAAAAATTATTTTCACTATTTATTTATAAAATATCTTTGTAAATTTTTTTTTTAAAAAAAGGTAACATTTTAAAATTAAAAGTAATAATAATAATAATACTTTTCTCAGACCAAATGACTCCTTAATAAATATCCCACAAAACTCCCAAGAACTATATAGAATGTACTATGTGTATCTCATAAGATATATGTGAAAGTAGAGTTTTAGAGGGGAAAAAGGAGAATAATTCTTTTTAATAAAAATTATCACATTTGATTATTTAAAATTAGTTTAAAAGGCTTGATTAATATTTTTCTTTAATGTATTTATAAAATAAATAAGTAATTAGATTTTATATTTTAACCTATTAGTTTATTTAATTATTCAAAAAAAATCATATTTAAAATAAAAGTTTTTCATTCTTACTCTTTTTCTAAATAAATTATTTTTCAAACAATTATTGAGGAAAATTGTATCCACAACTTCTGGGTCGTGTTAGACTGAATCAAACATTTGGGATAAGACTAAATTAGAATAATATTTTGGTCATCTTAACACGTGGCTCAATCAATTGATACATGCAGTATGTATATTATTAAAATATTTATTTAATAGATTACGTTACTATATATATATACACATGTATATTGTCTACGAATTTTTAACTAAAATAATATATAAAAAAATAAAAATACTGAAATAGACCTGTCCAAAAAATATTTACCAAAGTAGACCAATTTACTGTTTACGTACATAATTCGTCTTCCTAAAAATCTAATTCTGGTCTTCGAATTTGTGTCCGTACAGTAAATTACCAAATAGAATTCAGTTTTGGGGCAACCGAATTCCATACATAATTTGCATTTTTGTTTTTGTATATAATAAAAAAATATTATCTAATATTTATGTTTATATAATTATATATTGTCAAATTTAATAATATAAATAGTTTTAAATAATAAAATAAAATATATTATTTGAATTCTATTTTTATTTTTATATTATGTGAAAATAAATATTTATATTATGTTAATTTGTGTGACAAATGCATCCCCTCATTTTGTAAATTACTTTTAATATGCTGCGAGTTCACTTCTGAGAGCGGTTGAAAAAAACCCGCTCTCCAAAGTCGACTTCTAAGAGCAGTTAAATACGAACCGCTCTCCAAAGTCGACTTCTGAGAGCAGTTAAAAAAACCCGCACTCCAAAGTCGACTTCTAAGAGCGGTTAAATACGAACCGCTCTCCAAAGTCGACTTCTGAGAGCGGTTGAAAAAAATCCGCTCTCCAAAGTCGACTTCTAAGAGCGGTTAAATACGAACCGCTCTCCAAAGTCGACCTCTAAGAGCGGTTGAAAAAAACTCACTCTCCAAAGTCATTTTAATATGAATTATGAATATTAATATGATAATATTATTTTGAATAAGTATTTCATTTAAAATGCAACATGAGAAATTTTAATATTAATATGTGAAAGTGTTTGAAGGGGCTGGAGTGTGGGAAGTAAAATTATGACATTTATTAATATAACGTCCAGTTAAGTTAGCTTTTTCTTCTTCTTTTAAATATACTTTTAAATTTCTACATCATATTCTTTATTATTTTAATTTATCTTATATACATATTTTTTAATTTAATAAAATAATAATTCAAAAATATTTTATCATTTACATATTCAAATAAATATATGCCAAATATTCTTTATTATTTCACATAATATAAATATATAATTATTATTTCACACAAATTAACATAATATAAATATTTATTTTCATATAATATAAAAATAAAAATATAATTCAAATAATAAATTTTATTTTATTCTTTTTAAAACAATCTTTTTATTATTAAATTTGACAATATATAAATTATATAAACATGGATTCGTACACGCATGAAGGTTGGAATGAGTTTAGCTGGAGGATTTGAGGAGCGGTTCAAAACCAACCGCTCTCACAAGTCAACTTTGGAGAGCGGTTTACTTTAACCGCTCTCGGTAGTCAAATTTGGAGAACAGTTCGTTTTGAACCGCTCTCAGAAGTGAACTCGCAGCATATTAAAAGTAATTTACAAAATTGAGGAAATGTATTTATCACACAAATTAACATAATATAAATATTTATTTTCACACAATATAAAAATAAAAATATAATTCAAATAATAAATTTTATTTTATTATTTAAAACTATTTTTATTATTAAATTTGACAATATATAATTATTATATAAACATAAATATTAGATAATATTTTTTTATTATATATAAAAATAAAAATGCAAATTATGTATAGAATTTGGTGAGATTTTTACAAAAATAATATTAAAAAAATAAAAATTATAATAATAATTGAATTAATTTTAAATTTGTATTTGATAAAAATTACAATAATAATTTATTTAATTTTATATTTTTATAAAATAAATAAAAGTATTAAATAATAATAAGATTATTTATTTAATTTTAGATATTAATCTTTATTAAAATTTATACATAATTATTTATTTAAAAAATATTTTATTAATATTAATAAACATTATTAAATAATATTATGTAGATATATATATATATAATAATAATATATTTAATATAAATTACTAATACTAAAATTTATAAGTTGCAATGACATTCATAAAATTAAAAATTACATGAAGAAAATTTTAAAGTAATAACAACAACATAAATCAATGACGGGGAAGTAGAAGCTTGAGTAATGTTTGGACATGTCTTCCTTGTGTGACCAGGGGTGTGACAATAAGAACAATTTTTTTGTCGACTTTGTTGTTCTCTAATGTCCATCTCTATCCTTATCCTACTAGACTTGGGTCGATCTTTTGAAGTTCTTTTCAGTTCTGTATTTGGACACAAAGTTGGGCCCGTGTAAGTTGGCCAATAGTCTTCATGTCTGAGTTCTCCAAACTGACCTTCGTATACCTTAGAAACTTGTTGTAAGGTATACACGGGAGATATGTATATGTCAAAGTTGTAGTGTGTGTATAAGCATGAAGCAAGTACATGCGAGCATGGGATGTGAACTTTTTGAAACTTGCCACAATCACACCACATTTCATCTAACCGTACTGTAAATCTTCCTACGGGTCGAATTTCTGTCGGATGTTGCATTTCTTCGACTAAAAATCTAGTGCTTCTTCTGTCAAAGGTGATGACTCTATGAGTGTTTGCGTTTGACTGTGCATCTTAAATTGCTTTAGTTGCAACCTCCGAGTACATATGTCCAGCATTAATCATTGCATTTACTTCTCTGCCTCTGTCAATGAAGAACTTATTGCAACGGGTGTATGTTGCCAGGACCATGGAGCAAATTGGCAAGTTTCTGGTTTTCTTCAAGACCGAATTGATTGACTCCGCTAGGTTTGTTGTCATGTGTCCCCAGCATCGTCCATTGTCCCATGCCAGTGTCCACTTTTCCCTTGGGATGTTGTCCAACCATTGTGCAGCTTCAGGATTATTATCTTTTACTATGTTGTAATAGTAAAAGAATCTCGGTTCAGTCATCCCATATGCTGGAAACAAGATTACAAAAAAAATTAATATAACTAGCTAAGCAATTGTATAAAATATTAATGAGAATATAAAGTACGTAAAAAATTAAAATTACCCATATTGACGACATCTTTCTTCAGTGCAGCGTTTTTGAATCGTCGTATGAAGTTTTGTGCAATATGTCTAATGCAATAGACATGGACAGAATTGTTTTCTGTCCAACCACTTTCATTTTTGGAGTATGCACTTCTTATGGCCTCGTGACGATCCGAAATGAGGCACAACCCCTCCTGCGGAGTTACGTACCTCCTTAAGTTTTTTTAAAAAAAGAACCATGCATCGCTAGTTTCACCTTCTACCACAGCAAAGACAATGGGAATTATGTTGTTGCGGCCGTCTTGCGCAACTGCCACTAATAAAGTCCCTTTGTATTTGCCATACAAAAATGTTCCATCCACTTGAACAATTGGTTTGCAGAAGGCAAAACCATCCATGCATGGCTTGAAGGTCCAAAATAACCTCTTGAAGAACACATTCCCCTCGTCAAGCAAGCCACCCTTGTATGCTGGTTGTGTACTAAATTTCCAGATGAAGCCTGGAATATACAGTTGC